AACTGACACCTCAGAGGGTCACATCTGGACATTGTAACTTTACTTTGCACACACAGCTGGAGTTGTACAGATAACATGCCATAAAACTAAAGGACAGTTTTAAGTATGGTTATCTCTTGCTAACTAGTTATTACCAGTTCTGTGTGGTCCTGCAAATTATATCACATGACTCAGTTGAAACACTTAAAGTATGTTTCCAGATTCCTCTGGTTACTTGAACCTAGTCTACAGCTGCAGCCTTAGAGCAGACCAGCTTGATGGGCCAGCCTGACATGGATAGATAACATTGCCAGGAAGATGTCGCTTGGCTCCCACATGCGGTATTGCAGGTCCATTCTCAAATGCCACCACCCTTTGGGTGGAGTGTTTCCCATGGAGACAGACATGCCTTCCCTGCCCTATTGCAGAATAACCTAGTTGTCAATTACACAGAAATTTCAATGGTTGGATGACCTCAGTATTTTAGCATGTCACCTCTCCTAAAGGAGTTTGCATTGAAGTAAACACTTAAAGTGATCCATCCTTTTTTACATACTCTTCATGGTTCTGCTCACAAAAGGGCTTGAGGGGACAAAGGACCTTGCTTTTTCCTATGTGTTATTCCATTTTTACTGGGTAGTTTCTTTGTCCCATATATGAGATATGAGAAGGAATTTGGGGACAGAGGGACCATTCAGGGTATGAGTGAATATTTATTGAATATTGACTATTCTGCCTATTAATAAAAACATTGAATTCAGACATTTTTGGATGTGTCTTAGTATAATTTTTTTACTGTGTTAGCACACTACTTATTAATTTTTAATAGACTAATTTTTGGAGCAGTTTCAGGTTCACATCAAAGTTGAACAAAAAGTACCCATTGCCCCTAACTCACAGCCTCTCCCTGTGTCAACATTGGTGAACCTGCACTGACACATCACTATCATCCAAAGTTAGTAGTTTACATTAATCATACTAGGATTTTAATCTTTTTAAATTTATTGATACTTTTTACCTATCGCATCAGCTATCCTGGAGAATGTTCCATGTGTGCTTAAGAAGAATGCATATTCTGCTACTGTTGGGTGAAATGTTCTGTGTATATGTGTATATCTGTTAGGTCAAATTGGTGTGTTGATCAAGGCTTCCATTTTCTTGTTGAGCTTATAAATATAGAGGGTGCCAAAAACATGTATACACATTTTAACAAAGGAAAAAAACTTTTAAAATTGTAATACTCAATATATACCAATAACAAAAGATGAATAAAAGTCATGTTCAGCTTCTGCAATTACAAGGGGAGCTCAAAGTGGTTACCATCAGCATAATTTTAATACAGTTTTTTTCCTTTCTTAAAATGTGTATACATTTTTTTTGGCACCCTCTGTATATCCTTAATGTTAAAGAACGCTACAAATCAATAAGAGTGTTAAGCACATGAATAAAATTATGGATGAAAGACATAATTCATAAAAGAAATGCAAATAAACAATAGACTTGAAAAGAAGTTCATTTCATTGGTTAAAAAAATGCAAATTTAAAGTAAGATACCATTTACTTTTGCCTATCATATTAACAAGGTGTTTGTTTTGTTTTGTTTTTTAAGTGATAATATACTCAGTGAATGGTATGATAGAAATTGGTATAATGTTTCTAGGAAGTAATTTGGTAATATTTATCAAAAGGCTTAAAAGTTTCATACTATTTTACCAAGTAATTCCACTCCTAAAAATATACCCTGGAGAATAGAGAAATAAACAGAAATATGGACAAAGATTTATGTACCAGAACTTTTATTGTAGCAGTATTAACAATGAAAATTTGGATGTAAACTGTGTCCAGCAATAAGATAAATATTTCAATAAACTGGTAAAACCAAAAGATGGGAAATTACTATTCAAATGATTTCAAAGAATCTTTAATAGTATAGAAAAATGCTTATAATTAATTGAGTTTAATTTATTGAGATATTGGCTATAATAAAAAATACAGAAAATAAGTGTTGGTAAGGATGTGGAGAAATTGGAACTCTCCTACATTGCTGGTCAGAATGTAAAATGGTTCAGCCACTGTGGAAAACAGTTTGGCATTTCCTCAAAGAGTTAAATATAATTACCATAAAACCCAGCAATTCCACTCCTAGGTATATACCAAGGGAAATGAAAACATATATCCACGCAGGAACTTGTACATGAATGTTTACAGCACCATAATTCATAAAAGCCAAAAGGTCAAAGGTGGAAATAGCCCAAATGTCCATCAAAACAGATGAACGGATAAACAAAGTCATATTTCTATATAACAATGTTATTATAATTTTTTTGTTTTAGCAATTTCACTATTTTTATTGAGCAGTGCAAGAATATAATTTAATATGCCAATCCTAGATTTTCTCATCTATGTGTTGGATTTATTATTATTATTATTATTATTATTATTATTATTATTAAGAGCACAATTTCTCTACATTTCTTTGCTGACGAGTGTTTTATTGAGAAGAAATGGCTTGAAAAGAAATGACCCCAATGTGTACACGGTTAGCAGTATATCCTCTAAGGGTTAAATAATTACGATAATACACTGAAGTTCTCCAAACAGGTGAGCATTCTCCTCTTTTAACTATTAATAAGCTGAAGATAGCCCTATGCATATTTAATATCCATAACCTCATACTGCCTTACAGAGTTAAAAATGGGTTATGTTAATATTCTTTTTTTATTGTGAAATAAACATTTTTAAAAATTTATTTCAGCTGTACAACACAGTG